ATGTAATTCTCTCTTGGAAGGTTTTTTAGTGTTTGTATGAAATCTTTTTTCTTTAAGTTAATTTCTTCTTCAGTAATATTTTTACCTTTAAATAAACTTAGCATCTCTTTGCAAAAGTTATAAGACTATTTATGTTCTTTCTTGACAGATATGTTTATATACTTATCAATTACTCCAATGATGCCGTCTCCTAAATTTCATGCTGCTAAAGAAACAATAGCAAACTCTGCTAAGCCGGAAGCGCTGATTAAAACTTATCATAACTATATTAATATTAGGATAGAATTTATAACCTCTCCGATATACAATTTATTTTCTAAATACTTCTCCATTTATTTATAATGGTTTAAAATTCCTTCTATATCTCATTTTAGGAAATTTAAGATATAATGATAAAGAATCGCATTCTTATATAATAGTTTGTTTATATATTTGTTTAAATTCATTAACACTCTTAGGTCCATCAGTTTCTGTAATGATAAGTTTATTTCTCTATCCTGAAATTTAAAAAGAATGAAATTATTACAGTTTATTCTGATGTATGGCCAGGTGGTTAGGGCGCTCGACTCGCAATGTGTGCGTCGCGGGTTCGAATCCCCGTCACACCAAACATGCTCGCCCTTTCAGCCGTGGGGGCGTTATAATGTGACGGTCAATCCCACTATTCGTTGGTAAAAGAGTAGCCCAAAAGTTGGCGGTGGGTGGTGATGGCTAGCTGCCTTCCCTCTAGTCTTACACCGCTAAATTTGCGACGGCTAGCGCAGATAGCCCTCGTGTAGCTTTGCGCGAAATTCAAAACGAAAGAAACATAAACTAAAAATAGTAAACAAAAACACAAGCTGTTTCACTTCAAATAAATAAGAACAAATTACGTATTAATCGAGTGTTTTAAACAAAAACACAAGCTGTTTCACTTCAAATATATAAGAACAAATTACGTATTAATCGAATGTTTTAAACAAAAACACAACGACTACTAGTGGAGTAGCTGGTGGGTGCAAAAAATATAATGGTTGGAGGATCTGGTTGTAAAACGATCGGGGAAAGGAGTAATTCACAATTAATGTTAATTAATGAAGATATAGAAAAAAAGTGAAAACGTTTTAGGGGTGTTATCCTATTGATCTATTACCTAAGAGATAACATAATTTGAAATTGGAATTATTAATTTAGATAAAAGTACAGGATCTGCTACTCATTGGTTTTGTTATTACAATGATCCAAAATATTCGATAAAGAGATAAATTAACACTGTAACTTGTGTACGTTTTTTGGTTTAGTTTGGTTAGGGCTAAACTTTTCCGTACTTAATACTATCAACAAAAAAACTTATAATGACGTTAGACCTTTATAGAAACTTTGATAAGCTTTAAATATGTTGTCGAACAAAGTGTGTATGCATGCGCATTGAGATAGTAAGGTGCGCGCGCATTTTTCAGGATAGACAAAAACTGAGTATTGTTATACTTAGTCGTTGGCTGTCCTTCGATAGTCGAAGATGACGTAGACCATCAACGCTTGAATTGTTGACTCTGCTTCCAGCGCTTGTATGATCCGACGAACTGTAGGCAAGGTGTTTCTCTGAGTGCAACGATCCTGTGAGACCTTCACCCACTTTTTTGCGCAACCTTCGAATCGTCCTTGATGGATTTGCACCATTTAGCATGATATTTGGCTAGGGACTCCCAGTTCGTAGTAGGTATATCAGCTGTGATCAGGTGATACTTTATTACATCTTCGTAACGCAGCGTTGGTCTACCTCTCCTCCGCTGACCAGTGGAATGTTCTCCATAAAATAGAGTCTTCTGAAATCTATGTTCTGGCACACGCACCACATGACCAGTCCAGCACAGTTGTCTTTTAAGAAGCATAGCTTCTGCGCTGGGCATATAGGCACGTTTCAAGACCTCCTCGTTAGTGATTCGGTCTTCCCAATCCTCATTCCAAGCCTTCGCTGGTGCTCAAAGTGTAGGAACAGTAGTTGTAGATGAAACCTCAGGTTGGTATTATTATAATAGATACATACACGTAGAGTGCTCGAAGTGGGCCGATATGGGACGGTATGGGATACATGCACTTATCTAAATTCTTGTTTCTCTTACTGCCATATTATAAGGATTCGTTCCCGGATGTTCTTAGTCAATATTCAAAAGGTTCATCTTTGTTGAGAAACCACCTGTCTTGAAGTAAATTTCTAAAAAGAAATTGAATGTTGTCTTTCAGCGCTCACTCTGAGGGTCAATTGTTCGCTCAACTCTTCCACCCCTCATCCCACCTCGCTGCGCTATTTTTCATACCCCCACATTAAGTGTATTACGTTTTGTGAAATGTCATGCAGGCAAACTATACAAAACTTAGTCTGTGCAGATTCTTTGCAGCCTTCATTAGGGATACTAAATAACATATAAGTTTCTTTCTTCCTTAAAGTAATGCCTATTTATACTGTAATTTGTTAAATCAAGAGACAATTTGTCTTTCTGTGCAGTAATTCACACAACTTATCCCTTGTCAAAGGCTAGCACACTTGAACAAAATAGCATAAAACAAACAAACAAAAACGCTAAAATTTCTAAAGAACAGCGATTACAGCGTTCTTTCTACACACTTGCACACAAATTCAGACGTGACCAATCGGACAACGTTTTTGAATGTGCTTCTCCCTTATTAGGGACCATATAAGTAACAAAGTCTCAGACCCAAAAAGCAGCTTAGTGCATAAAAGCTTAGAAAAATGTATTTACAAAAGCTGATTGGATCCTGGACTCGATCGGTAATTCTAGGGCTAAGTATAACGATGATAATACATAATCGGCCAAACATTTTCAACTAAATAGTAATAAATAAATAAATGTGGGGTACTTCTCAAACTTTTAACAGCGTATGAACGTACTTACAGACACAATAAAACTAAATTTTCTACGTTGGTTTTTCGAATAACGTAGCAAGTTAACATCAACACTACAGTTAATGTCACTAATTACATCTGCGGTCCCCTATGTATTCTAAAAAGAAATTGAGTGGTTTGTACCAAGTGTTTTAATCTTTTCTTTACATATGGTGTTCTAACATGCAAAAACATAAAACGGCTCAGTATGTATGATATGTAAACCCTATATAAGTAAATGATAAAAAAATCGGTAATTTCAGGAATAAATTAAGATATATTAATACATTTAACCAGCGCTGTTTAGTATATGTCAACAATGTTTGATTACACAAGCTTATAATTAAGCCTTTAGGAATGTACTGAAATCATTAACTTACTTCCCCTAATTCTTCCGAAGACACTAAATAGAAGCAGAACCATATGACATATAATTTTATATTCTAACCCTTGTTTTCAACGAACATTTATTGTGACCTTCTATGTTGTGCTTAATGTTTTTGTTAATTTATCACAACAAAAACATATGAAGAAATGTTTACGCTTGAAAATGGGGGTCAGTTTTAACACTTGAACTTAACAGATTTTAAAATACAGTTCAAATTCGAAGTTGAGCCAGCTTCGAAAATATTCAGAAACACAATATATGAGTTTGTTGGAAAGAATATACACAAGGCTTGACATAAGATATTATTAGATTAGGTAGATGATACAAAACAATGCACGCAAGTATCTTCCAGAATTTAGATAAAAACTTTTTGAAGTAATCCCTTAACATACAGAAAAAAGGTGAAATTTTAAACCAGAGAAAGAATGGTGTAAGATTTTGGCGGTAGTGTAAAGCAAGACTTCTTAACTTTTCGCAGTGATCAGTTTAGGTCTGGGTCCTCATTTCAAGTATAACCAATTTAGTAAAACTGATCAGGATTTGCCCTTCAGAAAAACTGATTCTGAAATAGTTTGTATTCTAAATTATAGTGTTTATTAGTTATTTGAATTAAATAAAGGCTTTATGAAAAATAGTGTTTTTGATAAGGATAGGTACTTCCATGACCAATGGGAAAAACCACCATCCGCCAATTGGTCCCTTGGTACCACTTAAGTCGTTTTTATGCACATCCATAATTGATGGTTATTTACACTATGAATTACTTGTCCTCTGATACAAATTGAGTCATTCTTTATGCACTTCCACGCCTGATGGTTACTCTCGTCACAGACCAACTAGTCTTCTGATACCAGTTAAGTCGTTCTTTACGTTTTACATAACCAGTTTTTAACTTTCAAATTACTAACTCGTTTACATACTGTTAATTACCAGTGGGGTCTATTTATTGCATCATATATAGAATAATTTCATAATTTTGCCTTAACAACACTCAGTCTAAATAACTGGACAAACTGGGGGAAATCATTAATTTTGTATGTAGAATATGTAAGGAATTTCAGCAGTAATTAGTTTAATTGTTTACACTTTTGTGGCTCATGTTGCTATTAGGGATACTATAACCAATAAAGTCACCGACTCACAAACAATTTGGTGCATAAATAGTCTAGAAAAATCTACAATTTTAGGTTATGAGACTTCATAATATAAAAATTGTGTATTTTTCAAAAATCTGAATTATCTAACATAATTATTCGAGCTAACAAGATGATTCTTACTTATTAAGTAATGCGTTATCTTAGAAATGACATGTTTCCCAGTGGTTCAAAGTGTATTTGATTTAAGTTGATTTTATAGTTAATAATTTTTAAACACAAACTAATATATCAACGAAAACATACTATATATACATATATATCAAAGCCAGTTCTGCAACATTAATTAACATGGCATGATACGTTCAGCGCAAATTAGAAGGTAAGAAGTAGATATTGATAAGATTAACGTATATTTACATAACACAGAAAAAAAAGATAACTTAATAATCTTTAGGGCGAACACACTTTTACAAGTCTTTTATCGGGTATTTTTCTGTACTTGCACTGAAAATTTTAGACTAGTAATGAGCACTATGATAGTAGAATGAAATGGATATTTGATATCAGGAAAAGAAATTATAAGATCACTAAAGTATTCTATTATCCATTTCTCTAGTAAAAAGAGTCTTACCTGTACGTGTTAGTGTCTCCGCAATATTCGAAAGTACTTCTCGATGACGTCATATGATAGGCTCCACTTCTACTTCCCCTGATGCGAACTTTAGTGGGAGAAGAAAGGTTAACCTTTGTTGGGGAAGAAGTAGGAAAATTTGGGAAGCTGGCAAACTGGGGATTACGAAATTCTGATTTAGACTCTTTGTTAGGATTGGAAGGTCCAGTCTCGGGGTGGCAAGTTGTGGAGAAGTTGCTGCTACTGGCTGACTTGGTAAATCCGTGAGTAAAAGTTGACTCAGAACGAGGGTCACCCGTGGTAGACCCAGTCGTAAACTGTGGGAAACACTGTTGTGAAGAAGTGCCATTCACATAACGTGAGTTAGTCATTCCGTTACTTTCATTTGTAGTTCTAAAACCATCGCAAACTGACTTACCCGCACTAAAGCTTCCAGCTTGACCGAATGCCTCCTTTTTTTCGTTAGCTGTTGTTAGTCTCTCTTTCTCTGTGCGCACTGTAGTGCCGTCAAAACATACACTTGTTGGTCTCTGGGGAAAGTTGCTAAACACAGAAGTCATATTGTTTTCTTGCAACAATTGCGCAAAGCTCTCTTGGTTTTCGCGCACAAACTCAGCGAAGAGATCACTATTACCTACAGAAAACTTCTTTCGAGCGTCTTCGAAAAACTGTTTCATGTTTTCTGATGCATTTCCGGAAGGCACTCCACTCCGCCATTTGTGATTACCTTCACGGACACAAGAAAACCATTCTTGAGTTTCTTTCATCAATTTCGCGAGTCTTTCTTGACGTTCTTTATCGAATTGAGGGTCCTTAAAACACCCTTCTGATGATTTTCTGAAGTCACCGTTCATTGTCGCCGATCCATTAGTGTCTTGGTGAGAATCAGTATGAGCAAAGCCTATTAGTTTAACTTTTTCTGACTTGGGCGACGGTGGAATTTCGTGTCGTGGACTGCTCCGGCCATTAACCGTTATCAGAACTGGTGGTGTTAAACAACGTTTCTGCCGGTTTTCGGGCTTCTCACCAGCAGTGAAACTTACTAAGCGTACTTGTATCTCGTCCTTCGTAGGAGTCAGAGCATCCATGTTTGTCCCACCGGCATCCCTTTGGGATACGGCGGTGGGCTCTGGAGACATGTGAAGAAAATTGTCTGAAAATATATAACATATCTTGATGTCATTAAATCCCCTATATAACACCTTTTTTTTGTTTTTTAAACAGTGTGATATTTAGTCTGATCGTCAAGTAATTCTAAAGAAAAACAAAGTATTATACTTTCATAAACTTTATTCATTATTATTTTTATTTTATGACTGTATGATAAACACACGAAAACTTAATGAAATATTATAATAATTAAAGCTTTTCCTTAAGCTTGCTTAAACTAATAAGGGTGGGTACCTTGCATAATATTTATTTTTATAACTTTAAAAGTTGTAAGAAAATTTGTTTCACATTTGAGTGAATATAATTCCCAATAAATATATTATGCGGTTTTACATATTTCAATAATTTCTTTTATTCAGAAATAGTTTGAAATTACAGAAAAATTAATTGACGATTTTTAAAAATAGCCACTAAGGTAGTAGCAAAGGGAAAAGTGAAATGGCCACTAAACTCATAAAAGTAACAAAAATACACAAAATGAGAAGTGCATATTCGTGCGAACGGGACCTGAATCTTAAATCATCGAATTCACAACCCGGCACGCTAACCAGTGGGATTGCCCGATCCTTATGGTGTTCACAGTTCGGGGAGGAAAAGCAAGGAATACAAATTGAAATAGCTGTCATACTCATAGAAAGTAGAAAAAGAATGAGTGATTTTAGATCCCTCAGGGGCATACCTAAGAACCTCTGAAAGTGTCTCGTTGATCAGAGGTCGGGAAGTTAGAACATTTTTCGTATTGACAGACAGACAGACTGAAGCCATTTCACAGTATTGATAAGAGTTCTTCAAAAATTTTCTGTCTATATTAAAATAATGTCCTACAGTGAGTTCGGTGTATATATGATATAGCATAAAAACAATATTTGTATTTCGGAGATTTTCAAGCTATTAAATTATATGTAAAGAATTTTGTTCTTTTAAATGATGGTTGAAAGATGAAGTCTATTTATTTATAATTTTATCTACTTGTGGATATGTTTGTCCGCACAATTGTATTCTGTCTCGATACAGCCAACATATAAAACTTAGAAGCTTGATTTAAGACTCGAATTATCTACCCTTCATGACTTCAAAACAATATCCACCAGAAGCTGAAAAAGTTTTAAAACCACTATAATATTTATGGAATGTTTTTGTTTTCTGTTTTAAATGCGTAATATATTAAAAGTATAAATGTACAGGAATACACACACTTCGTCAAACAAACACGCTAGATATATATAAAACTAAATAAACACTAAGTAGAGGGTACACAACTTATGAAACAATGCACTCTATATAAGCTTGTTTGTTTGTTTGTAGTTACGCACAAAGCTGCACAATGGGCTATCTGTGCTCTGCCCGCCACGGGTATCGAAGCCCGGTTTCTAGCGTTGTAAGTCCGCAGACATACCGCTGTGCCACTGGGGGGGGGGGATCTATATAAACAAGGACGTAAGAAAAGTATACTTAATTAGCTATACTCGACACCACGTTGCTTTTTAATTTTGATTTATGTCGGTAGCTTGCTCTACTCATAAGTTAATATGAATTAACAGCTCCCTCTATAACCTCAAAAACCATTTTATAAACTTAGTGTAAGATGTATAATAGTATTTCCTTTTGATGACCAGATGTCTATGAACTCGATACAGCTGTCGTGGGGTTGCTTTGCCTGCTCAAACACATATATACTCCCACTGCCAATGCCCTATAGAGTGACGTCACGAGTGTTTTCTCAATTTTATTCTTTTTTCTCTAATACTTTAGAGATCGAAGAGAAAAGAACACGATAAAAACCTTATTGCTAACCTTGTAAATTTTCCTGCAGAATATGCGCACCATATATTCTTCCTAAACAAATCACAAAACTAAAAATGTTTTGCGAATTATCAATTAAATCTTAACATTTGGAAATAGGAACATGATAATAATGAACTTGTAAGAAGTATATATGCTAGAAAAGCAACTAATAACTAGGCCTCGTGAATGGTTTATGGTAACTACTAACTAGATATGAGCATACGAATAAGTGGAGCAACAATTAACTATCACAACCCAAAAATTTACTAATTATAACAATAAAAAACACCAGACCTCAGCTATTTACTAAGTAATATAACAATATATAATATAGTTATATGATAACTATTATTTTAATATTTAGCTATGTAAAGGCAAAACCATTATTATAAAATAAAGTCAATTTCCCAGTCTATTTCTCTAATCAGGCGACTGACGATCTCTCATGTGGTCTGAATTGCAAGTGACTAGCTATTCAGTCTGCATTCGTAAATGGACATTTGGTAGACGTGGTTTTACATCTTTGCATCATAATATTTTTCTTCAATATTGAGTATAGCCACAATATTTGCAAGAAACCGATGTCGTATGCTTAAAACCGGCATTGACAAGGTCCTGAGGTATTCTCGGTAACTCTTTTGAAATAGCTGTACCTTTAGTATCTGGAGTCACTTGACGAAATGCGACTCATCTTGTAAGAGCATCCCACACGTGTATGTTTTTATAGGCTAAGACATTGATAATCCTCTTCTTCGAAGAAAGTATCGACCGGTTTAACACGGTTGGTGCAGACATTATTATCCATTAAGTTGAAGTCAAAACCAATTGCGTCAATATATGACAGTACGAATGGTCTTAGGATGTGGTTCCTATAAAGGTGTACCTTTAATGGCACCATTCTATAGAAAGTAAAGACCAATACGTTTTTCAATGTCCATTTCTGCCCAAACTGTGTACAGCCGCCACCATGCCATTATACATCACGTTTTAAGATGAAGTTAGATCTAATTCCTGATTCGCACCAAATATTTAAGTATACATTTGTTATTTGTCTATAACGTGATAAGTGATTCACGTTACTTTAAATGTTTTTGATCAATTGGACATATCCTTGAGGCTATTGCAAGCGAGCTATTTGGTCTTTGCTGTGAACGGTTTCTAACAATGTTTACTCTCATACTGGACTCACTTGTACATGATAACATTTACTTCAGTCTTCTAGCAGGTACCTACGATTACACTTAGCTAGAATCGACAGAAAATGTTTGGCTGTGTACGATGGTCTATCTTACCCTAATGTCCAAGAAAATATTTCGTTGGTTTAGAAGCGGCTCTACATTCTGCTACCGACACTTTGAAACACTTGAAACCAATTCACAACATCATATTTTGATTGGCTGGATTTCATTTGTTTCATGGATATTCACAAAAATTAAACATCTGTATATTTTATCTCAGGTCCACCTACGGTTCATAAATAATTTAGAGCACTCTAAACTCTCTCATACACTTCAAAGGGACAAAACTCTGTAAGACCACTATACACAGCATTGGTTGAATGACCAATGATTTGCATTTCATATAACAAGATAATTAATCATATGTCCAAGTTACAAACAACAACAACAAAAAACAACAATCTCAAGGATAGTGGCGATTTGATAACAATGTCATAGTTATATCTATTTAATAACAATGTCATAGTTATATCGATCATTCTTTCATGGATTTTCCAATGTGGTGACTATATTTAATATTTTTTGTGTCGTTAGTTTGTTGTGAAGCACATAGCTACATAATGGGCTATCTGTGCTCTGTTCACCGCGAGTATCGAAACCAGATTTTAGCATTATAAGCCCACTGATTTGTCGCTGAGTCATCGGTGGTCTATATTCGGTAGAACAGTAATTGGAAATGATCCTAGGTCCTCTCTAGTATTACATTGATTGATAGTCAAATTCTGTTGACTACGGTAACTATAATTAGATCGCGTAGTATACCTTTAACAGCAAGCAATAAATATGTCCAGTTGTTTATTTACAATACTAATAAATAATTATATTATGGTTATTTATTTACGAAAGCGACAGCATTATATTTTAATAATCTATAAAGTAGTATCTTAATCTAATTCAGGTAATGTGTTTTAGAATAACAATTATAAATTAAATCTTGGTAATTTATTTAAATTTACGGTAATTAATAATATTATTGTGGTTTAATTTGAATGGCACATTATGTGACTGGCACAGCGGTATGTCTGCGGACTTACAACGCTAGAAACCGGGTTTCAATACCCGTGATAGGCAGAGCACAGATAGCTCATTGTGTAGCTTTGTGCTTAACAGACAAACAAACATTATTCGAAATATGGGCTAAACGGCCAAAGAAAAAGACTTAAAATTCAAATGAATCATATGTCCAAGTTACAAACAACAACAACAACAAAAAACAAGCTGAGGGATAGTGGCGATATAATAACAATGTCTTTACCTTGCATAGTTATATCGATTATCCTTCATTGATTTTGCAATGCGGTGACTATATAATTGAAAACTACTGACGAGAAAGAAGACAACAAGTCAACAGCACTAGTTACTCTTAACCGAACAACGGGATAGACAATCACGGTTATAATATCCCAACAACAAGAAAGTGTGGCATATGTATAACCAGCGGCATACCGCAGCTCAAATCTTGGAGCTTCGATACGCAGCCAGACACGCTAACCACCATTGGCCACAACCGGCGTCTGTGATTTGATTACAGTAGTAACTAAATTTAGGTGCTGGTCATCTTTATAGCAGAATAGTATCTAGAAATGAGATTGTTTATAGTAGCAAATAATAAATCAATACTGGCTAATTATTTAAAAGAATAAAACCTAATTATTATACAAAGCAAAACAGTAGCTAATGCTTTGCGTATTTAAAAAAATATACTTAAAAGATTTATCATTAAAAACAACAACAACAACTCGCAACTGATGTCACGGAGAGTCATTGCCAAGAGAGAAAATAAAATTACAATCTTTCTAAGAAAGTTTCTTTCTATAGACTAACCTTGGCCTAAATCATTGGCAACTTTCTTAGAACTTCATATATATATGCTTATCTTACATATTGAAATATTAATGTTTCTGTCCCGATTGTATCCATCCTACAATGTCGAGTCTCGCTAAGCCTAGTATACACTCTG